TTGGAAACTTAGGATATTATCAAGAACTTAACTTGGCTAGGACTTGGTTCTAGTACGGGAGATAGAGAGCTCCTTACACTATAGTGCGCACTAGGGGAAGGTACCCATGGGTTAATAGCCCTAAAGTGATCCCAAGAGTACGCTTTTAGTCCGGGCGATATCCAAGTATTCACTTTGGTTTGATTTCGTACTTTAAATTCTTAGTTGATAACCTTGTGAAATTTCATCTCATTCTGCCTTGTTGAAAGTTTTGATGTCATTTAAATAGCATGGATTAAATTATATTGAATTGCAAACTTTGTATAAAGATAGACCTATGTATGCTCATTCCCTACGAGTAAACTTGTTTACTCACCCCAAAGTTACTAAGTTATTTTTTAGGTAAAGAAGTATTATTGTGGGATGCACAACACTCTTAGGCTTGCTTGACTACTTGGAGAAATTTTGTTATATAGAACATGCACTTGTTTAGTTACTTTTGGATGATATATTTTGCATACCATGGATGTATGGTATTTTAGAAGCTAAGATGGCTTCCTTGATGTGTAATGTATATCTAAGAACACCTGAAGATGCCTATTTTGTATGTATGACATGAGGCCAAGGGCCATAAGTTTTAAAGTTCACACAAGTATGTTTTTAAACTTGTTTTGGATCATTTGGAAGGCATGCATAGCTTTAAGGTTGCCTTAAACGTGCTTACTGTTTTGTCGTTCGGCTGATTTCTTGTTTCTGTTTTGTTGTTCGGCAAATGGTTGCCTTCTTTTCCGTCATTCGGAAGTCAGAACGTTAGAACTTTTTGGAAGAACGCTTGAACCTTTTGGAAGAATGCCTGACCACGTAGGTTAGAACCTTCTGGAAGAACGCCTGACCATGTAGGTCAAAAACTTTTTGGAAGAATGCTAGAACCTTTTGGAAGAACGCTTGAACCTTTTGGAAGAACGCCTGACCATGTAGGTCAGAACCTTTTGGAAGAATGCTTGAACTTTCTGGAAGAACGCCTGACCATGTAGGTCATAACCTTTTAGAAGAATGCTTGAACCTTCTGGAAGAACGTCTGACCATGTAAGTCAGAACCTTTTGGAAGAACGCTTGAACCTTCTGGAAGAACGCCTGACCATGTGGGTCAGAACCTTTTTGAAAGAACGCTTGAACCTTTTAGAAGAACGCTAGAACCTTTTGGAAGAACGTCTGACCATGTAGGTCAGAACCGTTTGGAAGAACGCTAGAACCTTTTGGAAGAACGCTTGAACCTTTTGGAAGAACGCCTGACCATGTAGGTCAGAACCCTTTTGGAAGAATGCTAGAACCTTTTGGAAGAATGCTAAAACCTTTTGGAAGAATGCCTGACCATGTAGGTCAGAACCTTTTGGAAGAACGTTTGAACCTTCTGGAAGAACGCCTGACCATGTAGGTCAGAACCTTTTTGGAAGAATGCTTGAACCTTTTGGAATGACGTTTGAACTTTTGTCAGAACGCCTGACCATGTAGGTCAGAACGTCTGACCTTGGATGAGTGTCGAACGAGCGCTCGGTGCTTTGGCTTTGGATAAGCGCTCGTCCATACCTCAGGATCTTTCTTTTCTTTTGTTTTGATCATCTTTCGCTTCCGCATTTTGGATATATTTTGGGTAATCATTTGGTCATCATTGTTGCACCGGGTTTATAAAACTTGGGTCGTCACATTTCTTTTTATTAAAAAACTCATAATAAATAGATAAATACAAGTTATATGTGATAGAGTTTTAAAGAAAATAAAATAGGTAATTTGTGGTAGAGTTTTATATAAATTATTTTATTTTCTTTTAATAATTTTTTTTTTTCCTGAATAAACTCATAATAAATAGATAATGTAATAGAGTTTTATAGAAAATAAAATAGCTAATTTGTGGTAAATTTTATTGAAATTGTTTTATTTTCTTTAAATATATTATTTTCTAATTTGATTTCCCTTTATTAAAAAATCTCATAATAAATAGATAAATAGTTAATATGTGTTAGAGTTTTGTAGAAACACTTTTAAAAAGTCTTTTTATATCAATTAATAAATATTTTTTTATATTAATAATTTTTGTCTAATTAGATTTCGTTTTAGTAAAAACTCATAAATTGATAATTTGTGTTAGATTTTTATATAAACTCTTTTAAAATCTCTTTTTATATCAATTAATAAATATAATTTTTTTATTTATAATTTCTGTTTAAATAGATTTCCTTTCATTAAAAAACTAATAATAAATAGATAAATAGGTAATTTGTGTTAGAGTTGTATAGAAACTCTTTAAATCTATCATTGTCTAATGTTAACGATGTGATAGAGTTTTATTGAAAATAAAATAGATAATTTGTGGTAGTGTTTTATATAAATTATTTTATTTTCATTATAGAAATTTGTATTCTTAACTACTGATCAAGTATAGAAATAATAACATGACCTTGACCTTTGGAAATATGAAAGTGGATATTAAGAAAAGGGAAAGAATCTACCAACTTATTTGATTTGAAAATTTGAATTCTCGAATTTAGTTTTTGTTAGTAAAAAAAATAAAAAATAAATATTGAAAAAAAAACATATAAAAAATTTTCAGCAACAAATTCATTTAATAATCAAGTCACCGAAAACCCAAAAACATTGAAACCTGTATTAAGAATGAACAAAAAATAAAAAATAAAAACTGAGAAAAAAATTACAATCCAAAGTAAACTTATAAAGAGTAAAATAAAAATAAAAACTAAAGAAAAAAGAATAATGATACTTCTAAAAAATAAAAAGTAAAGAAAAAAATAACAATAATGACTCAAAATAATAATAAATTATGAATGAACCAAAAATAAAAAATAAAAGAAAAAAATTCACAATCCAAAGTAAACTTACCGAATCAACCACTTCTAAAAATCAATTAGAAAGAGAAAAATAAAATAAAACAAATCAACTACTTCTAAACATCAATTAGAAAGAGAAAAATAAAAATAAAACAAAAGAAAAAAAAATAATAATGCTTCTAAAAAGAAAAAGTAAAGAAAAAATTAACAATCCAACATTCTCAATACAACAAATTAAGAATAACAAATTTTGAACCATCCAAAGTATAATTACAAAGAGTAAAATAAAAATAAAAACTAAAGAAAAAAAAAGAATGATACTTCTGAAAAAGAAAAAAAAAATAATGACTCAAAATAATAATAAATTAAGAATGAACCAAAAATAATAAAATAAAAAAATGGAGAAAAAAAAAAATCAACCATTTCTAAACATCAATTAGATAGAGAAAATAAAAATAAAACAAATCAACTACTTCTAAACATAAAAATCAATTAGAAAGAGAAAAAAAAATAATAATAAAAAAACAATAATGACTCAAAATAATAATAAATTAAGAATGAACCAAAAATAATAAAATAAAAAAATGAAGAAAAAAAATCAACCAATTCTAAACATCAATTAGAAAGAGAAAATAAAATAAAATAAATCAAATACTTCTAAACATAAACATCATTTAGAAAGAGAAAAAAAAATAATAACATAATAATAATGCTTATAAAAAGAAAAAGTAAAGAAAAAATTTACGAGACCAATTATAAAGAGAAGAAAAAATATGCACACCACAAGTCGAACCTAATATATATATAGGTTATATGTGACAGAGTTTTATAAAAAATAAAATAGATAATTGAAATATTATTAGGTAATTTGTGTTAAAGTTTTATAGAAACTCTTTTTATAAAAACTTTTTTTTTATATCAATTAATAAATATTTTTTATATTAATAAATAAATATTGAACTACTGAAATAATTAATAAATATTTTTTTATATTAATAAAAAAATACTAAAATACTGAAATATTGAAACACTTTGCACATTTAATAATAATATAAATATAAATATATATAATATAGATATAGATATAGATATATATATATACACACACACACATACCATTCAAGTGATGGGAGAGAAAAAAAAGTGTTAAAAAGGTTACTTTAGTTCTATAAATAAATTTATATTTTAAATATTTCGTAATGGTAGGAGACATTTAATTAATTGAATTTTTTTTTTAACTCAATTGATAAAAATAAAATTTAAAATTATTTATTTATTTATTTAACTTTACAGTTCAAGTTTTGGAAAAAAAAACCAAAAACTCATGGAAACAAAGCCAGATCATGAACAAAAGCGACGCACCAGCCGTACATGCCTTACACACGTCCCCATCTCCTTGTGATGATGTATACATAAATGCTCGTCTCTCCGTGCTAATAACCTCTTCAAAATATCTTCCATCAACAATCATCAAAACAAAGCAACCAAATATTGTGAGATGCATCATAATAGGATATTATTCAGAGTTGGGATTGGGAAGTGGTCAAAGATTCAGACCACCACCACCACCACCACCAGTGGTTATTGAATTCGAATCAACAGCAGCACCGGCTGGTGACCGGCAGAGCAGCCAACCGTGCTGCCGTGCATGGAACCAAGCTGCCTGTCACTGAAATCATTGACGTAGGTTTTATGCATAACTATATATGCATTCACACATACAGATCAAAATTCTGTTCTTGATCTTGCTAGTGGGTGTTAACATTTATACTATTTTTTGTGTTCTGTAGAGAGAGGAAGCGGAGAGGGAAATCAACAAAGGCAAAGAAGAGAGAGAAAAGAAAAGGAGGGAGAATGAGAAAACTGTGGTATCCCAAACCAACCCATCACAGGGTTCTGAAACCTCTGCAAGCTGACATGCTTGCAAATGTTACTACTGTACCATATATGTCAAACCTTAGCACTACTAGTATGCTTTTCTATGTAACACACTGTTTCTAAGAGGACCTGGAAATTGAGAGAACTTATCAAAGTCCTGAATTTCAATTGTATAATACAACTTGTATTCTACTCTAAGTATTTGTATAATCAACATGCCAAGTAGAACTTGACCATGTTGCATTCTAACCTGTTATAGGAAAAAACACACACACACACAATGTAGATCGAACGCATGCGTAAGATGAAATGAGGGTATTGTATATCGAACGCATGCGTAAGAAGAAATGAGGGTATCTGGTGACTTAAATAGTAATTCAGATACAACTTAAATTGCAAGATATACAATATGGAGACCTACACTAATGATACTTCAAGTACTGTGCTATTAACTAAATATTCTTGTGACAATGGGTGTTATGAATGTAATACATATAATACTATGAAAATGAACTATGAAACCCGAATGACAACCGCATAGTTCTCTGGTCTAAATGGCTGTGATCAAAATGTGTATCATATGTTTTATACCTTTTAACAGCAACTTGAAAACTAAGGCTAATCTTCTTCTTCTGTCACTTCAACCAGCCTCCCACGAACCCATTTCTTAGTTATGGAAGTCGATTTGCGTGGTGTTTCCTCTTTCCCGGACCGAAATTTGGCTACACTTGGTGGCGGCAAAGTTTCATGTATGTCATTCCCATTTGGTTCAAGCTGATCCAGTTTCCCTGTGAAGCTGGATTGCTTGTCCAACTCAGTTGAAGTCAAACCATAATCAATTGTGCCTCTTTGATGAAGTTCCTCAGTAGTATATAATGAATCATAGCCATTGGGGCTTGTCGGAAGAAGTTCATCATTACCATTGAGTAAATCCTGCAAGGTGAAGTTAACAAAATCGCTGTCCTCCATATCACTTCTCCTTGATTCTAAAGCTCCATTCCCGTTTGATTCTAAGGCAGCTCCATTACCGTTTATTTTTATCTGTTCTGTTTGGCATGGTCCTTCATTTCCAGCATCTTTTTCTTTGTCGACATGGTTTACCAGGTTGGCTGAGGCAAATGAAGGGTGTGTGCCATTTTCAAGATAGTCAACCGGTTCAGCATCAATGGATTCAATGGACTGAATTGCTTCTGCTATGAGCTTCCTGGTTTCAATGAGGGAAGCTTGAGCAAGAGGGCTCCTCATTGCAGCTACCTCAAGGGCCTCTGCAGCTTTCTCAGCTTCAGCAATCAATAGCCTGCAGAATGTGTGGCAATATAAAAGGAGAATTTTTGAAGGAAATATCTAATGTAACCAAATCAGTATAATGTAATAAAGTGGAGTCAATGTCATTTAACATAAAGATATGAAGCCATAACTGACTCATTTTGGCTCACATGCTTTACAAGATGGATGAGTTCAATTCTGATTTTGGCATGTCATTTATACTACAAATGTATATGTGTATATGACAACCAAAAGATCCCATCAAGCAGCATTTTAGATTTTGCGAGTAGAGAACTTTGATACCCAAAGACCTAACACTGTCAAGCGAGCTTAAATTTTCATTGACACGCCAGATCATCTAAAAATGCAGGAAAAAGTTTCATGGCCAGATCATCTATGACTCAATAGTGCTGGACTGAGTTTCTTCATTTTTCCTTCTACACTACTTTGCTGAATGTTCAGACCTATAAAGAAGAATAGGTATATAGATGAATGAACTTACTTTGCTCGTTCAATGGCTTCAGTTTTCTTAGTTTCTGCAGCTGCTCTCTGCGCTCTGATATTCTTTATCATCTCAAGTTTGGAAGTCGCCAGAGGATCCTTGTACAATGGCATATTACTTCTTTTCAACCTAGATCGTGGACGTTGGCTCTTAGTCTCATTCGTTGGGGAATTATCCGCATCAACAGCTTTCTTCTTTTTCCTAGGCTGTCGGTCACCACTTGGCTTTCTCCTTGACCTATTTTCAGCTCCAACAGCAGGTATTCCATGATATTTAGCAAGGGCAGTGCAAACCCGATCGCGGTAACCCTAGAGGGACAAGAAAATACTTTCTCAAGAATCCTGGTTTAGAAAATCTTATGGAACATGTAAGAGATGTCTCTGGTACTTATCATGATCATTGCTAGTCACAAAATGAACCTCAGGGCCAAGGAGAAACTAATTCAATTTGATTGATGTTGATCCAGATTTTGGATGGTTCTCTATCCACAACTAATTGGTTGAAGGTTCCAGCAGGCTTTGGGAAAAGAGATTGCATGCTTAGTTTTCATTTTCAGACCTGACCAGAACTCAGGAGTCTGGACAGAAAAATTCCCCCCCACTTCCAACAAAAAAAAAAAAGAGATAGAGAGACAAAATAAAGGTTGGAGTAGGTGAGAAAAGAAAGTAACACAAAAATTCAGATTCAAAACAGGTAAAGGCGCTTTAAGTGTTACAGTCATCTTTGGACCTATGATGGGGAAGCATAGTTTTGTTCAGGTACACATCCAGGCTTGGATGTAAGAACCTAGTGTTTGATGGGATTAAAAAATCCCAACCTCAGGACATTTATATGAATGGACTAATGATCACTTAATTAAAATCTATAGACATTGCAGTTATAGTAATCATGGAATCACCAGCAATATACAAGGAGATTCCTAACCTGTCCAATGGTCGCTTTCAAATGTTGCACATGTGATGCATCCTAATGTCATTAGGGGGCTATATCAGATAAGTACCATAGATTCTCCTACTATGGAAAATATCACACATGCAACTATTTCCAAAGATATTATTATAAGCTCTTACAGGTTCAGCCCATTTGGCAGAAATGGCCTCTGAAATTTTCCTCCTCTGCTCAGCTGACTTGGGTGCTCTCTTGCTCCCTTTCGGCCGAGGCATACTTTTTCTTTGTTCAACACTCTCCATCCACTCCTGCTCAAGGTGTTCATCCAAGATCTTGTATGAATCCCACTGAAGCTCTTCTTCTCCAAGAAAGCCCCTTCTGGAGGCTTCTGCTATCAAGTTCTGCCATTTAAAGTAGCAAGTTTCCTGCAGCAACAGTTTCTCACGACGCCTTTCCCAACCTATCCGCACTCCAATCCCAATTTTCATCCTTGTTTCTTTGCTGTACAATCAACAAAAGAAGAGGCAAATAACGTGTTGTGAAACAGTACTCGTAAAATTTACAAACATAACTTTAAAAACTGGTATTCATACTGGACTTTATGAAGCCTCTAGCACAAACCACAAGGGAAATGCAGAGCATATGATGCGATTAACCTTCTCAAGGCTTAAAATTTCATAATTGATAAGACAATAGATAATATATTATATATATATATATATATATATATATATATAGTTTTTTTTCAGTAAGGAAGCCGACAGGTGATAGTTGATACTAATAGTAGCAAGGCACAAAAAGTTCTCGTAAAAGAGTTAGAGGAAGATAGAAGTTATCCTAAATGGACTTGCAATATCTGAAATTCCTTTTTTTTTTGATAAGTAACTTGCAATATCTGAAATTAACAAGCATAGAAGCAGGAATTCACGCTTTCATGGTTGCACTAGGGAAACATTAGAATCTTTGGTCTATTTTAAAGGACAAAACATCCAAGGTACAATTACAAAAAGGACTTAAGGTAAACTAAATGATAGATAGCAAGGTAAAACCAAAATCCTAAATAACAAGATAAAAAGGCAAGGAACCCACCTCTGAGCATGTCCCAGGTTAACCAACTTCATCTTGACCTGCATATCAGATCTTGTTAATAGAATATAAAAATTGAACACATCCAAATGAGACTATATTTGTGAACACTAAGAAAAAAAAAATGAGAAGGGAAAAAAAAAAAAGAAAAGAAAAGAGAGAGAGCATGACAATCCCTTAGCTCCCAATCATCAGATGTAAAATCAGTTAGTCTTCTACAAATCTAAAGCATCTCATCTCATTAACAGGCCAGTAGGACACCACAAGTATTGGCATCATGATTTTTATATGAATTAATAAACAAATTCTAAAAAAAAATAATGTTTTTGGTTAGAATCTCACTCCCTCTTACCCAAAAGAAGAATTTTTGGATTTACCAACAGGCTGTGGAACTAGATTGAGTCTTACCAACGGCCCAACCTGAACATGGTTTAGTGGCAGTACTTATACAATCGAGTTCATGCAAAACCTTTTCAACCATTCCAAGGCTTAATGTGTAATTTTTTTTCTTACATGACATCACCTTTTGATCCTGCATTGCAAGTCTTGTTCTCTCTTTGATCAGCTGTATGGTTTCTGCACATAATTTTAAAAAATTAAGGCAACGTTTGAACACTATATGATGCAAATGTTCCAATTAATAAAGAAGCTAGGACTGCTAGGTCAAATTGCACATTCTATTACCTGCACTGTGCTTCCTGCCTTTGTTCCATGGCGTGTTCCCTTTATTTGCTTTGGAAATCCTCATCCGCCTCAACTTCTCTCTCTCATCCGGTTCATCCGGGTCTTCATTTGAAGATTGAGGTTGAATCAATGGGGAACTTCTAGAATCAATATGTTCCCGTAAATTAAGGCGATCCTTGTGTCTGTTGTCGCTCACAACCGTGCACTTAGGTTCAAATGTGGCAACTGCCCTAATCACAAGTCCGCTCCTCTGCATCTCAATGTTCCCCAAATTGAATTTTTTTGCTCTTTTGGGTATTTGGAAGGACTTCCATGGAGAGGCCAATCTCTTCTCATTGCCCAGCATAAATTTACTATGAAAGAGGGTTTGAGCTCTAAGTACATATACATGATTTTGGAAATTAGGTTGCGAGGTAGCAATATCTGCACACCAAATTGAAACATTTTGGAAGCCAATCTTAGTAAATTTTCAGAGATAGGCTTTTGTAAGAGCACAAATGCAAGAGTAACACTACAAGGGTTTTTCAAAATATATATATAGAGAGAGAGATATTGCAGTAGCAGACATGGGTTTCTTATCAAAAGGAACGCCCAGTAATACAATGAAGCTAAAATGAGAATAGGCACGAACATTCAATTGAAGAGGCAATAAAAGAAATAAATTTAAAATATGCAATGCAATGCAATGCAATGATTAGGGCAGAGTAAGAGAAGATAAACCCATAAAAATTGGAAGAAAATTAGAGAGTTTTATTACCTAATAAAGGCATGGGAGGCTCATTCAGTCGAAACCCAATTCGAAATCCAACAGTTCAGATAAAGAGAGGGAGCGAATGTTGCTGAAACTCCATAAATCCTTCTCTTTATTCTCTACCCACTTTATCAAACAGTATAAAGAGAGAGCGAAATAGAGATTCAATCAGTGAAAATAGAGAACCAAACCATTCAAGAGAGACAATAGAAAAGGAGGGTTTGGTGTCCTCTTCAATTCCAGTTATCAGTTGTCAAAGACCCAAGCTGTGAGAAGTTGTTATCCGAATATAGCTCTATGTTAGCACTGCTTGGGGAGTAGAAGAGGGAAGCAAAAGAGGGGAGGCAGAGTGAGAGGGACGCAGCCAGAGCCACACACAACACACGCACCTTTGTCCGATTTTTTTAAAGCCCAAGATAATGATATCATCATACTCACTGTACACAGACTCCAAGTAGAGATGTATCGGCTCTATAAGTTTGTGATATTTTAAGCCATGTGGTTGTAACTTGTGAGATTCAGCGAGATATTATTGAAATTCAATGCAATTCCTTGTATTTACCATATGATGTAGTGGTAAAAGTTTAAATTCCCACGTACAACTTATTTTTTTCTTTTCTTTTTTCATTCTGGCAAAGGGATAGAGGAGTGCCGCGAGTGCGAAAGCCATCAAATTTAATCTGCACATAGTGTGAACAAAAACGAAAGTGTGTCCGAAATATAAGAGTGACATTTCTTTAGAAAATTGTGCGACTTAAATTATTTCAGTACAAATTTTACACTTTTAAAAAAATATAGCACTTGTGTTGATGTAGCTATATACTTGTCTTGGAGACTCCAACTATTAGTATGCACTCTTTTTTTATTTTTCACTTTATTATTTTTAAAATTTATTTATTAAAAAATAAAATGATTTATTTCATTTTTATTTTTTTTTTCAAACTGTTTTATTCCCAACAATTATAATAGTTTACTTCAATTATATGTTTTGAGAATTTTTTTAAAAAAATATTTTTTTAAAAAAGCAATGATTTTACATATATAAAGAAAAAATACATTACATAACTTTCTACAAATAAAATAAAATAATACAATTTAGGAATAAAAGAAAAGAAAATAATGCATTAATAGTACACCATCACTTTTTTAAACAAATATATACAATAATTGTTTTACACACCACCAAGTACCATTACATTTTTTTTTTTATTTTTTATTTTTTATAAATATAATCCAACACAAAGTCCACCATTTCTTATCGATGTCAGGTGCTCCTTGAATCCACAAATGTGAAATATGGAGGGTAGATTAACTCCGGATCACCACAAGTGTAAAATCTCCTTGCCAAATCATTTGCATCACTACAGTGCCCAACCAATATTCAAATAAGAATTGAGAATGTTGTTAAAGAGACTGAACACTGTAGATAAATATTAGTATTGATCATTTAAAAATTAGCAATGCTAATAAGAAGACGTACCATACTAATATGAGCTCAATTTGGGGAAAAAGAAAGAAAAGAAGAACTTGAGTTCCTCTGGCTCAGATCATTTATGACCCATCTGCATTAGTCACCATAATTTTTTATTATTGATTAATTTTTTAGTAAGTAAATCACAACACTATACTCAGTAGTAATTCAAATTCTCAATCTTCCATTCAACAGGATGAAGATAGAAAATAAAAAAATAATAAAAAGAAGCATGTCAATGAACTATGCAAATAGCCCGAGTTGGCTCTTGCTTGCAATAAAAATTGTTTCAAGTGGCTAATTTAATTAATATATATATATATATATATATATATATATATATATATTAGTGAACTATACAAATAGCCCGAGTTGGCTCTTGCCTGCAATAAAAATTGTTTCAAGTGGCTAATTTAATTAATATATATATAATTTTTAGAACATCAAATGAGTTTACTAAGCTAAATAAAAAAATTCAAAATCAAAATACAAACCATAAAGAAGGAGAAAAAACCAAAGAGATATAAAAGAAGTCAAGTGTCAAAAAAATCAAATTATGACTACTATTCCACATTTTTGTTTTTCACATGGTCAAAACCAAAAGTTGATTTTTTAAATTACCAAAACGCCCATGGTCTAAGAGCGCCCGTCAATTTGCTACAACGTATTGCACACGGATGTCCAAAGCACGCGTTTTGAGTGACAATTTGACTTCTATACATCTTTCGTTGCTTGAACTCAAATTGATATTCAAACCATTCGCTCACCATATATTGCTCAGTATATCTATCTATCTATATATATATATATAGAGAGAGAGAGAATTGTCAAGAAACCATAAACAGAATATGGAGCAACTAGTAGATTTCAATGAAGAATCTGCCACAATAAATGGAAGGACCATTGCCTTTATTGTATTTGCAGCTATACCCATGATGTCCTTGCTCCATCTACATGCCAGGGACTTGTGGTCACTTTTAGTTACAATGTTCCACCACCACTACCACTGCCACGATATCGTGACAGGGGTGGTGGAAGGAGAGAGAGAGGCCGACGATGACAGCCTGGAACTCGAATGTGTGGTGTGCCTCAGCCAAGTCTCTAGTGGCGAAAAGTACCGGATCCTCCCGGAGTGCCACCACGGCTTCCATGTCCACTGTATTGATGCCTGGTTGCAAGTCCATTCCACATGTCCTCTGTGTAGAAGTCCGGTCAAAACTCTCTCAAACCACCATAGAAACAATGGACATTTTTATGATGGTGGTGTTTCTTGTTTGCTCTCTGCTTTTGATCATATATGTCAATGGATGCAGAGTCCTCTCAACTTTGAGCTTACGTCTGCCCTATGTGAGAATTCTAATTACCTTTGTTGATGTAATTTTTCATCACCCTTTCTAGGAAGAAATTAAGGATAATTATGTCCTTTTTATAATGTACATTACATATATTCGTTTGTATTAATATTAGTTCTGAAGTCTTGTTGTCTTTGTTAACGAGAGATACAGAATTGTTAATACTTTGTACAAAGTGGTGGTTCTCAAGTTGTCAAACTGGATTATATATTCTCACCAAACAATTAGATACATGAAATTCAATCGTTTTTAATATTCTCTTTGTCTGGTGTGGTATAGTAATAGTTTTCATGTACCTAAGGTCATCAATAACAACTGAAAGTCTAAATTAATGTGCGTGTGTGTGTGTGTATATATAATAGATACAATATATATTGGGGCTTAATTATTTGATGTGTTAGTACAACCCCACCCCCCCCCCCGGCGATGATGAACGAGTCTGGTTAAAGATGTATCATTTTGGTTATATCCCTGAATTTGATCGAGTTGGGTAAACCAGTCCAAGGCCAAGTTATGTAAGACTAGCCTGGGTTCAATCCAAGAGTCCAACCCAACCCAAACCATGTAATTTTTGGGTGATTATTAGCATGATATCACAAGCAGCATTGGCTTGTCTCTATTCAGTAGTCAGTTCAAGATGTTGCACTTCCAGTACTTTTAGGGCATGTGGAGATAATAAGCAAGTGGTAGGCTAAAGCCAGAGAGCCCATATTCCACCAGATGCAACAATTAGTTGTACCTAGCTACCATTTTAGCCATTAAATATTTTACAATCTCATACTCTGATTTGAAATCCTTTCTACAATAGTAGTTTTCATAATCCTTTCATATTGCACATTACTTGACATCTTATGAAAAAAATTATGGGTAATTTACATAGATCTCTCTTATGATTTGTCATAATTACATGTGGCATCTTTTCTATTTCGAAAATTACGCAGATCTCTCTTATTTTTGAAAATAACCTCCTACTGTTAGAGTCAACCGCCAACAACAACGAAAAAGGATGGTATGAGCTACTTTTTTTCATGAAATGACGAAAATACCCTTGCATATATTATATATACTTGATATTATATATTAGATGCAGATGTCATGTACTAATTAACTAAAATCACCAAAATACCCCCATCTTCTCCGTTACGTGTCTATACCTTGTTTTGATTTCAGTGAGTTGTATTCCTCATTCCTCGTTATAAGCTTGTGTGTGTGTGTAAATGATGTATAACACCGCCGGAGAATGCCTGCCATTAGATTGAAACCAATGAAATCCATTGATGCTCTGTGCTTTCGAATTGGGTCTTTAAAATTGTCGCTCGATCTCACCGGATTGAAACGTGCCAAAACTGAAACTTGTGAAACTCTTCACCGAACTGAAATTCTTTGTTGCTGCAGTACTTTTCTGATCACTTGCTGAACTGAAATCAACTTTAGTCTTCTCAATTTAACCCAACGTCATCTCACGATGAAGTTATTATAGACCAAATACTTTCTTCGCTCTCTTTCTGTTCTTGGTCGGATGAACAAGGTAGAGAGCATTTCCCTTTTTCTTCTTGTCAATCCAAGTTCATATTTAGTCATATATATATATGTACATAATAAAATAACATAAAATTATATTAACAAGATGCGATTTGATTTTATCGGATTTGTGGTCAGATCTGTTTGAAGTTTATTAAGAGTTCTTTGAATCGATTGAATTTGATCAAATCTGAGTAAATAAGAAGATTTGCGACATGTTTCTGGATTGATCTTGTATCTTTAAATTTCCATTCCAAAAGAGTTTATGTTAAGATTTGCGATATGTTTCTAAATTTCCATTCAAAATATTTTATCTTAAGATTTGATATATGTTATTCTAGTTTGATCTTTTATTTTTAATTTCTATTCTGAAAGATTTTGTTTTCAAGGTCCGTTTCCAAAATTAATTTTTATCGCCGATCTGATTTTCGTGTATTGTTGTTTTAGAACAAGTTTTTCTGGGGAAGAATATTTTTTTTTAAATTCATTAATCAATTAATTTTCTCTGTGTTTTCTTGATCGGTATTTGCTATATTCCCAATATTTAAATATCTTCTGATTTAATTATGTTTATTGTTAAAAACAGATGCAGATCTTTGTCAAAACCCTCACAGGCAAGACGATCACCCTCGAGGTTGAAAGCTCAGACACCATAGACAATGTCAAAGCAAAAATCCAGGACAAAGAGGGCATCCCACCTGACCAGCAAAGGCTCATCTTTGCCGGAAAGCAACTTGAAGACGGCCGAACCCTAGCGGATTATAACATCCAAAACGAGTCGACCCTTCACTTGGTCCTCCGCCTCAGAGGGGGTACCGGAAAAACCAACAAGATCCTATGCACATATACACAGACAGGAGTATTTTAAGTCATTTATCATTGAAAGTTAAGGGTAGTTCAGTAATTTTGACAGGTCCTTTAGTGTATTTAACGGCCCATAACACATAAGGGAGATAACACATAAGGGAGGTTCGTGTAGAATATTTTCAAAAATAAGAAAAGTTTGTGTAATTTTCAGAACAGAAAGGTACCACCTGTAATTATGGCAAATCATATAGAAAGTGTGTGTAAATTACCCGAAAATTATTTATGTTCTTGCTCCTTTTAAGTAGATTTTTTACAAATAGTGAAAGTATCTAAACTAAAGGTTGGGCACCACTTTGCCAAGTAACTTTAAGCGAATTATTGTTTGAAAGATTAAATCTCCAAATCATCTCAATCCGAGTTTCGTTTCACAATTATAAAAATACTGGTGAAATATATTCATGAATTAACTTCAAGGAATTGGTTCCAACGGTGAAGCCCGGGGACTTAATACCTCATAAAGCATTAAATTTTAGGTTCGAATCCTTTCCTTTCAATCAAAATTTTCTTCCTCTAACTCATAAAATTATGACAATCTCTTTGCCTAAACTAATATTTTCAGGCACTCCAACCACTTTTGCAAGATATGAATATGTATTCACCCCTTTAAGATCTGCATCCATCATGGAATTGATGACAATTGCAGTGACCGTGTCTATGTTTCTATTTATTCTTATAAATTATCTCTCTTCTTGTAAAATAAAATTATGATTTTGTTTATTTTTAAAATTAGTAATATTCCAAACACCATCAATAGCTGTAAACCAGATGAAGGAACCACAGCCTGCTCGCTGCTTCCAGCTCTTTACAACTCTTAACTTCTATTTTAAGATCATTAGTCTCGTGATTATCAACTTTTTTTAGTCAGCTAAAAAATTCAAACAATGACAATATATTTTACTAAAGTATCTACTTGCATTGCCCAGATAATTGAATACAATAATTGTACATGTATAAACAAAATAATAATATATGTACTGAATTAAGATTTTCACTTTGAAATGATCTTAACTTGATTTTGAAAGAACGCGGTAAATAATAAAATTTATAGAATCAATAGTTTCTAACGAACACGGTTAACAGTAAATACAGTATGCAGATGTCTCGATAATTCAATGAATTTTTTGGAGTGTTAGGTTTATACTCTATGTATCTACTAATCTAACTTTAAAAAAAAAGTATTAATTAATCAAACTAGTCACTTCATATTCAGAAACATGATAGGTCAAAAACAAAATGCCTCCTTTTTTCTTTTCTTTTCTTTTTCCTAATAATAAAAAGAAATGCCTCCCTCTTCTTTCCCTTTTCCAGTACATATCAAAGTATACCTTGAAAAAGTAACTCCAATAAATGAAACAATTAACTAAATAATTAATGTAAACCAATAATAATAATTTATAAAAAGGAAATGACTAATGTACCAAGTCAATATTAAACATGCATGACAATACAAAGATATCGAAGCATTCTGTGTCTTGTTGATAGAATATGAGAGAGAAAGAAGGTGAGGGGCGGGAAATATATATATATTGAGTAAATTGTATTAACACTCGAATGAGATTTTAGTTAATGTCATTCAGATAGTCAGATGTGGGTCAACGATTTTTTTCAACAATGACACCATGGTTTCAAATGTCATATTTGTCATTAATTATTTAATTCAATTAATTTACAAAATATCAATTCTATTAATTGACGAAATTATCATAATCATTAAGTCTCTCTATATCCTAATCTAACTCTTTTTTTTTCATCTCTTTTTTAGTTCATTATAGTACCAAGCCGCCGATACTCCGATCCCCTCTCTCTCATTCTCCTCTTTCTTACTATATATACATTTTAATTTTTTTATTGGGTAAATTGCACCCCTCGTCATTCTTTTCGCCGATGGAGAAGCTATTGGTGGTCGATGGAAGGGAACGTAACTGGCGGTGGAGAAGATGGTGGCTAGGGCAAGTTAATTCGCAGAATTTGAAAAAAAAATGTTGCAGTGTGTACGTTGGATTTGTGATTGAGATGAGTAAGGGAAGTAAAGTGGGTGTAAAAGGAGAGAAGAGAATTGGTGGGAATGATGAGATAAAAACATCCATCGTTGTTTTTAAATTTTTTTTTTTTTTTTTACTCTTATGGTGTTGTTTAGGTGTGGTTGTGGTGGTTATGATGGTGTCTAGGTTATGAAGGTGTTTCAAAATTTTTATTTTTATTTTTTCTATTGTGGTGGTGGTGGTTCTGGTGGCATTTGGGACGTATAAGTATAGGTTGACCATGGCTGTTTTTAAATCTTTTTTTTCTACGGTGTTGGTTGTAGTGGTTATGGTGCATGTACAATTATCTGGCTATTCCTAACTAATTTTAATGAACCAAACTAAACTCTTCTCTCTTCTATAGTTTTATTCCTAACTAATTTTAATGAATTGAATTTGTAATTTTATGATTTAAATAGAGTTATTGACAAATTAAAAGGTTAAAATGAAATTTCATATGATTTTATAAGTCTGGAAAAGGTGTCAATGCATATTTTTAAAATATAAAAAGGCTTCAATGTAAAAAAGTCGTTAATTATCCGTTAAATGCGTTAACCAAAATCTCAAAAATTATCAATACAATTTACCCTTTGAAAAAAAAAACTCCGTTACACTTCTGTCTCCGTTGGTTGCTTAAGTGGAACTTTTTACGTAATTTATTATATTGCTTAGGTGAAAGTTTTAACTTATGAGGCCCAATTTTCATTGGATTGGCATGAATGATTAATGTGGGGTATACCTTCTCCAGTGAGGTTAAACTTAATATGGAGATTGCTAAAATAAATTAATTTTTATATAAAATCATACACAAATACATAGGACCGTAATGAAGGGGGAAACCCATTAATTAAAGAAAAAGTGTCCAAAAAAAACAAAACAAAAAATATGACTGCTATTCCACATTTTTTGTTTTTCACATGGTCAAAACCAAAAGTTGATGTTGAAAATAATCAAAAGGCCCATGGTCTAAGAACCCATCAATTTGCTACAACGTACTCCACACGTCCCCATCACTTTTTTTTGAGTGACAATTTGACTTCTATACATCTTTCGTTGCTTGAACTCAAATTCAAATTCAAACCATTTTGCCCACCATATCTATATTGCTCAATATCTATATATATAGAGAGAGAGATCATTCTTAAAAAATCATATTATGATGGAGAAACTAGTAGATTTCAATGAAGAAACTGCCACAATAAATGGAAGGAGCACTGCTATTATTGTATTTGCAGCCATACTCATTATGTCCTTGCTCCATCTACATGCCAAGGACTTGTCGTCACTTTTAGTTACAATGTTCCACCACCACTACAACCCCGACGGCACCGTGACAGAGGTGGTGGAAGGAGAGAGAGAGAAGGACGACGACAGCCCGGAAGTCGAATGCGTGGTGTGCCTCAGCCAAGTATCTGGCGGCGAGATGTACCGGATCCTCCCGGAGTGCCACCACGGCTTCCACGTCCACTGCATAGATGCCTGGTTGCAAGCCCATTCCACATGTCCTCTATGTAGAAGTCCGGTCAACACTCTCTCAAGCCACCATAGAAACAATGGACATTTTTATGATGGTGTGGTTTCTTGTTTGCTCTCTGCTTTTGATCATATATGTCAATGGATGCAGAGTCCTCTCAACTTTGAGCTTACTTCTGCCCTATGTGAGAATTCTAATTACCTTTGTTGATGCAATTTCTTATCACCCTTTCTAGCTAGGAAGAAATTAAGGATAATTATGTTCTTAATGGCATTCGCCATTTCTTGGCACTGATGAGTAAATATGGCCTTTTGCTTTCAAGAATGTCTGTAACAACCAAATGAATGGTTCCGTTATTTCATGTAAAAAGAATACACAAGCAAAAAAATTAATTTTCTTGTGATGATTGATTCCCACAAATGGAGCGAAAATCATATTGTACTTGTTTGTCCAATACATAGTGTCAAATATTATCACATCTCCAAAGTAATTATAATCCAATTTTGATATACGGCCCTTGCAGCTACGGTATACTTCATCTGGGAAGAGCCCAGGATCTACAAGAACAAACCCTCATCCCAAAACTCAACTCTGCACAAGATTACAACATCAATTCCAGGAAAACTTCAATCAAAGGGACCAAGAGCACGAAGTGCTATGTAATTAGTTGTAAGCTAGGTATGGGCCTTGGGTCTTTGGTAACCATGTAGTAAATGGACTACTGATTAGTCCATGTTTTTGGCCCTTTGCCCACTGTAATTACTAAACTTTATAGACAATCACCAAGATGATAGGTCAATAGCAAAATGCATTTTTTCTTTTCTTTTTTCCCTAAGGCTCCATTTGGTTAGATGGAAATAAATTAAAAAATAAAAGAAATAGAAAGTGAAAGAAAAGTGAAGTGAATGAAAAGAAAAGTGATTTTCTAGTATGCATTTGATTAGCATGAAAATTTATTCAAGAAAATTGTAGAAAAATATTAGTTTGCTAGTTTGGATAGTATGAAAGTGAAAAAAGATTATATATATATATATATATATATATCCATATAGAATTGACTTACATTAATATACCAAATCAAAAGTTCAATATGGTCTTTCAATAAAACATTCACGCAACAAAGTTTTTCCATCACAATTTAAATAGTAGAAGAACTACTTGGGAAGGCTCTTGCTTTGATAGGATCAGCATTCAAGAACTCAAATGCATTCATATATATATATATTGGATACTGGATATATATTTAGAACGAAAGAAATCGTTAAAATAGCATTCCTAATTATAAAAACTTCTGATTTTAGTATGATTTGGATACTGGGTATATATACCCAGTATTTATATATATCCAATATCCAATATCTATATGTATATATATAGATATTGGATACTGGGTATATATTTGGAACCAAAAAAATCGTTAAAATCCCTAGCATCCCTAATTATAAAAAATTCTAATTTTAGTATGATTTGGGATTATGAGTACGTGGTTAAAATTGCAATATAGAACAGATAATTATATATATATATATATTCTATCTGTATAATTTGCGTTGTTAGAGAAATGTTGAGAGAGAACTTACCTTTGGAGAGAACTTTGCAACGATTAAATTGCTGGGTAAAATAGGAACTGTAAATAAATAGGCAATTCTTTCACGCGAAAAAAAATTTTCACGTGGTTTTTGAGGGGAAATTTTTGGGGGTAAATACTCCACGCGGAAAACTAAATTTTCCATTACAATTCTTTTTCTATCTATCCAAACTTTAAAAAAGTTATAAAATTTTCTCTTTCTTTTCTTTTATAGCTATTTCCGCCTAACTAAACAAAGCTTAATGAAAAAAGAGAAATGCCTCATTTTTTTTTTTTTAATGCATTTCAAAGTAAACTCTAAGTGGAGATCAGAATTGAAAAGTAACTCCAATATATTAAATAATTAACTAACTAATGTACACCAAAGAAAAAAAGAAGAAGAAAGAAATAACTAATGTATATATACCAAATCAAAATTAAACATGTATAACAATGCAAAGATAACGAACCATTGGGTGCCTTATTTTGTTCTGGGCTTTGTGCTTTTTTGGTTTTGGGCCAATGGTTGTTTTTGTTCTGGTTCAATGGCCTTTGGGTTCCTAATGAATGAGAAAAATTTAAATGAGTCAATTGTAATGATGACATGGTATCACTAACTTATTAAATACTATTATGTAGTGATAGGACCCATTAAAATAAGGATAATACTTGGCTACTCACCGGTGAGTAGCTTTACCCTACTCACCCTTTATGTGTTCTTATAAAAAATTAACACATCAGTTTTAATAACAAAATAATAAAAAAGGAGAAAAAAGTCGGATCCACTCATTTTAATTGGGTAAAAACTCTTTCTCTTTTCTCTCTCTCTTTCATCGATTCCTAAACCAATGCCCTCCTCTCTCCATTGTTGTTGTTCTTCTTCACCCTTCCTACTCGTTCTCGGAAGATTGATTTGAATTTCCATTTATTTATTTAGTCAATCCAGCCCAGCAGTTAACTAAAAACAGACTCGCAATCACAAGATCCCGTACTATCTGTTCAAGGTTAGGAAGATGAAGCTTGAACGAACTCTTCTTCCCTTGCTGGCTTTTATAAAGACAGGACAACAATTGTTAAGATTCCAAATATAGTTTATTGAATTCATACCCCTGTACATCATTTATGATTATCAATAGCTTGTTTCCCGGAATTCCTATTTAATATAGTAAACAGCCCAGTAAAGCAAGAGATAGAAGATCGATCCGATTGAATCACATATGGCTGGAGGCTATTTGGTATTTCCACTCGAACTGCGATGAAAAAGAGAAAAGGGTGAAGAAGAAGAACAACAGTGGAGAGAGGAGGGCGTGGGTTTGGGAATCGATGAAAGAGAGAAAGAAAATAAAAGGGTTTTTACCCATTTAAAACGGGTCGATCCGACTTTCTTCTCATTTTTTATTCTTTTATTATTAAAACTGATGTGTTATTTTTTTATTGGAACACATAAGGGGTGAGTAGGATTAAACTATTTACCGGTGAGTAGCTAAGCATTATCCTTAAAATAAAGCATTTTATTTATGTGACATGGTACAATTGGTTGATGGCACAGATAACGAAGTATTAAATGTATAAGGAAGTTTTTCTCCTAATGAACCCCGTACAGTTTTTCCAATTTATATACATTATTTAACATACACACCCCACTTTTGGTTCCATGGGGACTTGCACCAGCCACACCAGCAGGAAACTATGACCAATAGAATTAGGCACTTAGCTACATCCGCACGCAAAAGGAATGTGGTTCTGGTTGAGGCTTTCTTTCCTTTATTAGTAAAGAGGGCGCGGGACGTTCTAGGAGTCTGTGCCTTCCGTTGGAACCCTCGTAACCTAATTCCTACCTGAAAATTTTACAAAAGTGAGCAAGATATTCAAGACCATGGAATGGAACTAGGTTTAAACTTTAGACTCCGAACATATTTTGGGTGGGATTTGGATTAAAGTTTTACCAATTCAAAGAACCCGAAATATAAAAATAGTTTTAACTTTTAATAGTATATTTTTAAGATTACACATATTTATGTTAAATAAAGTTAAGGGCTTAAATCATAAAATCCTCAATGCTATCATTTTTTTATCATAAAATTCCAACTTTTTTGTAAAAACCCTAATAATATTACAAAGTTATCATTTTGCCCCAATTCTGTTAGTTTGTGACGTTAACCAAGCATGTGGTCTTCACATGGATTGACAATCAAATTTTAGTGACAAACTACCACTGTAAGTAGGGCTGCAAATGAACCGAGCTATTTATGAACAGCTCGGGCTCGGCTAGTTAAGGGCTCGGCTCGGGCTCAGGCTCGTCCGTTAAATAAACTAGCAGAGCTCGAGCCCAATTTATAAGCTTTTTTAGTAAACGAGCCGAGCTCGAACAACTTGGGCTCGGCTCGCATAGGCTCATGAACATGGGCTCGATAAGGCTCGTGAACTAGGCTCGTTATATATATATGTGTGTGTGTGTGCGCGCGCATGTGTGCATATTAATTAGGCCTAACTCACATCTTTTCATTAATCAGCCCAATTTAAATCCGTTCATTAATCAGGCCCAACTTAAATCCTTTCATCCACATCTCACCATCTCAACCGTTGAGTTCAAAGATCAGAATTAAACCCTAAAAACACTACAGCCACATAATCTGCCGACAATACTCTACACAAGACGTAACGCATTTATAGGCCAACTCAAAAACACTACAGCCACATAATCTGCCGACAATACTCTACACAAGACGCAATGCATTTACAGGCCAACTCTTTCTCTCTCTCTCTCGGATCAACAGTTAATAACAACCTAAATTCTTCTGACATCACTCCACAATCTATATAGCTATCTCTCAAACGGATCTTAAGATGGAACTACAGTATGGAAACCTGGTAATATTTGATTTTTATCTTGAAAATTTGATCTTTATTTATTTATTTATATTTTTTTTGTATTTCGTTTCTTTCTTAGAGATTTAGATGCGATCTCATGTAAGAGATTAGTTATTTTCTTGAATATGGAATTCATTCTACTACTTGAGTATATTGAAATTTTCGTAGAAAAAAAATAAATAAATAAATAAATATGGTAGATGCACTGGTTCTTGGTTTTTGGCTGCCTTATATGAAAAATTCTCTAGTTGCAAATGTAGAAATATGTTCTTCGAATCTCTGACACATCTTTTTTTTTTTTTTTTTTGAATTTGAATTTGATACATCTTGTTTATGCATAGAAGACACAGTTAGGGAAGCAAATTTGGAGGGTGTATATGAACGAGCCCAACCCGAGCCGAGCCCGAGCTTCATGAAACTCAACCGAGCCCGAGCTCGAGCCCGAGCCCTGCGTAACCAAGCTCGCCAGAGCCAAGCCTGAGCACCCCTTCAAAGATGATGAGCCGAGCCCGAACAACCCAAAGCTCAGCTCGGCTCATTTGCAGCCTTACCTGCAAGAATATAGGCCAACCATAAAAGCCCCAATACTTTCAATTTTTTATCATAAACCCCAACCTGTTTCTAAAAAGCCCATCACTATTACAAAATTATCATATTGCCCCAATTCTGTCAATAAACCGTTAAGGGCTTGTTAAATGACTAAATTAACACTTATGATATACAACTTTATTTAAAAAAGGAAATTTTGATAGTTTACAAATTACAAAATTAC